AAGGTGAAAGGGGGTCAAACACCGTATTAGTATGTTGTTCCTAATAATCCTTTAGGTGAGTGTATATATACAGTAAAATAATTCATATGTAAAATTACTCATTTGGATGCTCAAACAGCTGTGGCTTTATTTGCATGCTTGTAATCTGTCAAAAATTCAATTGTTTCATTAAACAAAATTTAAAAAGTACATGGAACTAGAGATTCATGACACTTATTTCCTGAGAGCCCCCAGAAGTGCATCCTGGCGAAGGTGAAGAGGTTCCTTGGCATGGCGAATCTTTCCAGATGGTTGGCCTGGCCTTGCCCATCCTCATCTAACCAGCAGCGACAGTCAGTCCGGCCTTATTCTGTCACTGCTTAGCGACATGGCAGCACCCAACCCTGGCTCCCCACCCCTCCAAACCCCAGTGTCTCCTCTGAGACCCTGATGCTCACAGACGGGCTTAACTGTTCTTGGTGTCCGGCCAAGGCACCCAGCCAAAGGTGCTCTTACAATTAACCACAGCTCCTTGATGGAACAACTGTCACCTTCCAAACCAAGTCTGGAATCACAGTTCAGAACTCACAGTATGCCGTCCTTCCTATAACATATCAAGACGGCAAACCAACATCTGTATTTAGTGACAATGGAAGATGATGACAGTGCAGTGTTTTATTAATCTTGGACTGGGTCTCTTCAGGAAAACCAGAAAGGGTAACAGAGTGCTAACAATTCAATGGTTCAATTATTATTTTTTTTAGATTAAAAACATTAATCTAGAGGTTTTACTTTTTTAGGTTAAAATTCTAAGATTGCATAGATTATTTTAAAGTCCTCATATCTGGTGTCTATGTATATAAGCTTGTTGGTAAAGTTTATGTAATTCTACAAAGCTGCCACCTTCCCTCCCCCCTCTTCATGAACTGCCTGCACCCGTGATATTATGGCTCCCTTAGTCAAAGTTTGCGTTCTGCTGCTGGTTATCCTGTATGCCGGGGTATTAACATATTCTGTCTCTTAGCTCTTGGCCTCAGACACAGTATACAAGGGTGAGGTCAACAGCCTTTGAACCAACATACTCCTGGCAAACCAAAGTTTAACGGCCTGTCACGTGTGATGTGGTGGAGAAATACAGGTTCATTTGTTCTCCAGTGTCTTCAGGGTGCACTAATGTGTCTCACTCCTCCCCGGGCCCATAATTAAAAGGTGATGCCGGCTGGGCCGTAAATAAATTTGATTTTAAAAACGCAACCTGCTGAGATGCTGCTCCTCACAGACTCTGTGCCACACGTCCGGCAGCTTGCTTATAACCATCTTATAAATACTGCAGCAGGAGGCAGTAAAGCGGAGAGGCCTTGAAGAAGGTTATTTATCTCTGGCTGGAAGAAATCACCCCATTTTATGGGCAGTGTCTCAATGCAGGAAATTACTTTTTTAAAAAGTCATTAGAAAGTTGCTTGCGTCAAAGACACAGACGTCTACAGCAATCCCCCCCCCCCCCCCCCCCCCAACCTCTGGTGATTATAAACCTCCATTACACACCCACGCCCACACAAATACACGCCACATCTATCAAAGAGCATGGAGTACATACACTTTATAACTTGCAAACATTTTATAAGTACGACAGAGCAGCAATAAAGGGACGTCTGTGTTCCTGTTAATGATAAATAAGAGCCAGCTGGGGGGGCTTGTCCCTCAGGCCTCAGAGAACAGCAGAGTTCCGTTCGGGGAGGCCTGCGTTCTGGGTGACCTTCCTCAGCCAATATAATCGATCTCTTGGCCAACTTTGTGCCGATCGCAGCACTGCTCAATGATAGACAGTCCTGCTGATGTTGGCATGGTAACGACAATGCTGTAATCACTCCCGAGGAAGGTCTGGCCGCAAGGGGCACATCTCTGCAGGCTGTCGGCCTTTCAGTGGTGATCGCCGTGGTTCAACATCGCCGTGGCGACCCAGACTGCAGATTAGTAGCAATCATCATTAAGGCTTCCTGAATTAATGAAATATTCATGGTCAATGACAAGGGCTTGGGGCGAAGTCCTGTGGGCTGCCTGCCCTGTTCTGCCACCCCCCCTCACCACCACACTGTCACATGATCACTGGCCATCACCCCCCAGCTTCAAACACACGGAGGATGCAGCAAAAGGTAGTGGCTGTGGTGATGTCAGTGTTGGGGTGGGCATTCACTTATAGGGCTCTTAGTTGGTGGTTTGCGTAAGGGGGGGTAAAAATAAATAAATAAATAAATAAATTATATATATATATATATATATATATATGCACACACACACACACACACACACACACACTGCTTATTTTGGAAAAGGCCTGCACCTGGCCATGTGGTGGGCAGGACCCAAATTTAGGATGCCCCACAGTACCACACACGTCAACGTGGGGTGGCCCACAGTACCGCCAGACATTTCTGTAGATGAGGGGGGTCTGTGTGGTCACACAGTTCATGGCGCAGTCACCCATCGGGCCAAAGCCACATGGCCAGAGACCAGCCTGCTCAAGCTCAGCACTCCTCCTTGATATTAAACTCATCATCTGATGATTCTTGTCTCTCAACATGGCATGCAAAGTAAGGCAAGACAACAAACAGCCAGAAGAAAGACTGGAGCTCATGCTCGGAGCGGGGAGGAGCCAGGAGACCGAAACCCGACTCAGGTGTGTGTGAGTTGGGCAGTGCCGAGGCTGTGTGTGTGTCTCTGTGTGGGTGAGACAGAACCCACCACCCCCGATGGAGAGAGTCTACCTAACCTACTACTCATCACCACACCCTCTACTTGGGGGTGTCAATCTCGAGTTACTCATTTTGTTTTCAGGCTAATTCTCATCACTGAGGGAAGTCTACCTTCTTAANGGGGGGGGGGGGGGGGGCTGGCACTGCTGCTGCCTGTCAGGTTTTATGAGCTCCAGGATGCTCTGGAAGGCCGGCTAATTGATCCTTGCTGTGTGACCTTTGGAAGCATGTCTAGAGGGGAAAACATGTCAGAGAAGCCAGAGGAACGTCTTCAGCGTAAAGGTGAGCAGGGCTCGCACTGTGCATAGTCACACGGCCAAGAAGTTCAGCAAAGCATGTTGATATCCGCCGTCACCAAATGCAGCTTCCTTGGGAGCTACCTGGCTGTTACCTCATTCCACATGGGTAATTAGAGAGGAGGAACATCTCACAAAGAAAGAGACTGAAATGTGATCTGCTCATAGGAGGCAAGGGCGTCTCCTTCAAGCGCTGGTAGGAGGTACCATAGTGGTTATGGCGGATGCTTTGTAGCGAAGGAGTTCTTGTACACACTGAGCAAGACATTTCAGGAGCCTGAAAAAGTTGTGCGTTTTCTATGTGAGTAACTTTTTAAGCAGCCGAAGAGTTTTCTCTCTATAACTCCATAACCACCACTGGCCTGTTAAAACCTCCAGCTTGGGTTTGGAGAAATACACCCTCTTGACGTTTCAAGCGAGGCCACGGAGGCAGTGAAAAAGGAAAAGAGAAGCTCTGACACAGACATATGCCAGAACTGTAGATCATGAATATTAAAATGAACATTGTGTGAGAATCACGAAGGATGTGTCTCGGTGTCATGCAGGAAAACTGTCAGCCGCACAACACCGCAGAACCTTGTGATAAGAAAGTTCACCTTTAATTCACATATAAAGAGCAATATAATTATAAAATTAGAACTGACCTTCAAATTAATGCCAGAAGTTTCCCCATTATTGTCTTTGTTCTTTAAAGTAGTTCTCATTAAATGTTCATGAAAGCCATGTTATCTCTCTTGCTCTAAAAGCATTTTCTTTGTCTGTTCTTAATAAACACACTTCTGCAGAGGAAACAGCAGACGATAAAGATACCCTCCGGTTATCTGATCAGTTCTCAATAATACCTAATGGACCACAGACAATCCAGCTAGTTTCTTTCAGCGGAGACATTAAGGACGGTCCTATGGCGTCTAATTTCGAGCACAGGCTGCAGTACTGCGGCTGGACAACCAGTGTTAGTCATTACTGACGGGGATAGTAATTCAAAAGGCAAAGTTTGCCTGTCTAGCTCCTATGTCATAACAATAATAATGCAGTTCTTGGTGTTACTGCCATTATTTCTGCATGCTTTGCCATGAAATTGTCATGTGGTTCAATTTACTATTTTTTTGATATGTTGGTAAGAAATGTCATGTCATTAATTCAAGCAGGCCGTGAGTCATTAGCGACTGTCAGAAGATGCAGACTAGTCACTAAATCTCTCCTTTTTTGGGAATGGGGCTAATATTGGAGATAAGAATCATATCTAAATTGGAAGCATAGTAATGTATGGAATTACTTGCCAATTTTCAACATATCAAACAGAGCACTATGGGAATACAACTCTACTGAACAATACCAATCCACCATTATTTATGTCTGTGTAGTAATAGTAATAGCCTGGGATTGTACTCTGATATCTGGTGGGGGAGGGCTAGGGCATTTCTCTCCCCAGGGCCCGAGACAGTGACTATGCTAAACACCCAACACTGAGCAGCTTTTTTTGTCAATTCTACCAGA